GGCCTTACAAAGATGAGCATAATTAACACCAGGTCATATTTTGTGTTGCATTGTTTTTTAATTATTTCAAGGACATTAGTGTTACGTCCTCAATTGGTCTGGGAGTTATTTGAGAGTGAAACCATGTCTTATATGGATATTTTGCGCAGTCTAGTGAAATGTATTAAGAGAAGCTTAATAAAGGAATATTGGTCAAAACAAGTTCAATCTTGAAAAAGCCAATTCCATTTAATCTCTAACCCTACATACCACATAAAGAACACAGATGTTGGGCATTTTATGTTTGGGCTGGTTGAGAGAAGTTCAAATCATTAATTCAGTCTTTCAAAGTAGGTTCTTTTGAGCATCTACTAATTGACAGGGATTGTACCCTGATTTTAGGAAGGAAGATCATGCAATAGGCAATTACTATCCAGTTTGATAAATGTTATGAAAAGGAAAATACAGAATTCAATGGGGGCAACGAAGCTAGTGATGGAAAGGGATGGACACAGAAGGTTTCTCAGAGGAAGTGACATCTAAGTTGATAAAAGAATATGAAAGAGGACTTTCAATCCCAACTATAAACAAAGATGAGAACTAGATAAACTATATGAAACAACTATTTTCAGGCACTGGACAACAACTGGCAGAGAACTCAATACCTGGGAAAAGGGAAGCATAGGGGCTAAACCCACATTCACTGCAGATCTCTCTAGTAGGGCATGTTCCTTGCACAGAGAAATAGATTCCAAACAGAGAACAGCAGTCTTGCAGGTTGGAGGAAACAGGGATTGGAACTGGAGCTGCAAAAATGACTAGGAGTTGGTGGAGGCAGGCAGAAAGGAGAGAGCCACAGAGAAAGAGGCCCTGAAACATGGCTAAAATTTTTCCTCAGGGTCCTGGGCTGACTCCTAAGCTATGCATGTGCAGCATGAGACTCTGGAAAATCTATCAGAGAAGAGCAACTGGTGGCAGAGATTTTAGAGGCTGCCCAGTGTTTGGGAGACGCTGGAGTTCACGCTCAGTCAAAATAGAGAAACTTCAGTGAATACTGTGGGCTTTCAGTTGAGACCCCAGAAAATCCATGCCCTGGGAGTGAAGACTGCTCTCTAGAGCAAGGGTAAAACTAGATGGTACCTTCCCTAACCAAGTGGCAGTAAGATCTAGGTGGTTTCACCAGTATTTTAATTGCCTATCAGAATAAAATGCAGCAATCTTTAAAGGAAGGAAGCATAATCTTAGCTTTTAGTGTACCATTCACAATGTTCAGCATAGAATAAAAAAAAATTACTGAAGAGGCAAAAAATCAGGGAAAAGTGACTGAGAACCATAAGATAAAATAGTCACTAGAAGCAGACTCAGAGATGATCCAGATAGTGGAGTTAGCCAAGAAGGACTTCAAAATAACTATGATTAATATGTTAAAAAAAAAAGAGTAAAAGAAGGACAAATGGGAGAAAGATACATTATTTTAATAGAATTAGAGTCTGTAGAAAGAGAATCAAATGGAATTCAGGAACTGCAAAATAAAATACCTATAATTAATATATTGGATGTGCAGCTGTGTCATATAACTCATGTACATAGAAACAAAATTCCTGAGAATATATTAATGAATAGAATCCAACATATATATCACATATATATATGAATACATAGTGACCAAGTAAAATTTATACCAGGAATGTAAAGTTGGCTTAATACTCAAAATCAATCAATGAGTCTAATTAACCATATTAATAGAATAAAGAGCCATATAACATCTCAATTTGCAGAAAAAGCATCTGGTAAAATTCAATAACTATTCACACACACACACACACACACATGCTGCTCAGAAAACTAGGCATAGAAGAAAACTTCCTTAATTTGAGGATATCTATAAAAAGTTAACTTCTTATTTAATTCTAAACTATGTAAAGTTTTCCCTCTAATAAGGGACATAATAAAAGCATGTTTAGTATCCTAACTTCTAGTCAACTTTGTACTGAAGGTCCTGGCTACTGTAAAAGAGAAGAAAAAGAAATAAAAGCTATGAATATTGGAAAAGAAGAAATAAAACTCACTATTCCAGATTATCTGCTTATAGACATAGTAAATTCAAGAGTCTATATTCAAACTATTAGAAATAATAAATTAATTTAGTAAAATTGCTGTTTAAATATACAGAAAATTAATTGTATTTTCCTATATTAGCTAAAAGATTGGACAGTGAAATTAGCATAAAATACCTAGGAATTTAATGTGATAAAAAATATGCAAGAATTTTACACAAAAATTTCAAAGCAGTATTGAGAGAAAAAAATTTTAAAACTAAATAAATGGGAAAAAACTCTAAATAAACTGAGGGATATAGATGTTCATGGATTAGAAGACTCAGTATTATTAAGGTTTCTTTTCTTCCAAGATTTATCTATAAACTCAACATAATCCCAGAAATCCCAGCATTTAATTAGGAGAAATTGGCAAGCTGAATCTAAAATTCATAAGGAAATATAAAGGATCTAGCATAGCCAAAACTTGTAAAAGGAGAACAGAAATGGAGAGCTCAAACTACGTGACTTCAAGTCTTTAAAACCAAGGCAAGTTTAGATTAATAGATAAATGGGATAGAGTAGAAGCTAGACACAGACCCACACATAAATGGTCACCTGATTTTTGACAAATATTATATTACAATTCAGTGGAGAAAAGAGTCTTTTAACAAATGGTGCCTGATCAACTGGTTATGCATATGGAAAAATCCCCAGCAAAACCTTCAACCTTATCTCACACTTCACAAAAATTAATTTGAGGTGAATCATTGACCTAAATGAGGAAACAAAAATATCAAATTTCTAGAAGAAAACAGAGGATGATCTTGGGAAAGGCAATGATTTCTTAAATGGGACACATGCAAAAAAATATGTTAACAGAAAGATTGATAAATTAGACTTTATTAAAGTTAAGAACTTTTGTTCATAAAAAGATACCATTAAGAGAATGGAAAGGCAAGCCACAGATTGGGGGAAGTTCTTTGCAATGCTTCTTTCTGACAAAGGATTTGCATACAGAATATATATTTTAAAGTCCTATACATCAATAAGAAAAAGATATAACACAACTTAAAAAGTGGGCAAAAGACTCAAATTAGACACTTCACAAAATGGGATACCAAAATGGCCAATAAATTTACAAAAAGTTACTCAACATTAGAGAAACATCATTAGAGAAATGCAAATTAAACTCACAGTGAGATACCACTCCACACCTCCAGAATGGCTAAAATTAAAAAGATTGATAATACCAAGTGTGAGGATGTGGAGCAACTGTAAATTTCTTGTGTCACCAGAGTGTGTTTAAATTGGTAATCCATTTTGGAAAAAAAATACTCAGCAGATCCTACTAAAGCTAAACATCTATGTCCCCTTTAACTTAGCAATTTTACTTCTGTGTATATACCCAGTAAAAATGAGTGCATATGTCCACCAAAAGACATGTATAAGAATATTAACAGCATCTCTATTATAAAGAGCCAAAAAAAAACCCCAAAAATCAAAAGGAAACAGTTCAAATATCCATCAATAATAACACAGAAGAAATAAATTGTGATATATTGCTACAGTGGAATATTATATCAGTGAAACATGAAGTTTGACACATTCAACAGTATGTTAAACTTCAAAGATATAATGTTGGGTGAAACAGGTTCGGTACAACTGAGTATTTACTGTACAATACGTATTTGAAGTTCAAAACAGGTAAGTCTGTAGTGATCGGGGTCAGAATAGCGATCATCTAGAGGGGCACTGACTGGCCAGGGGGAACAAAGGGGCTCTCTGGGGGGGGGGGGGGGCGCTGGAAACGTTCTGTACCATGTTCTGGAAGGCGATTACAGGGGCATACATATACGTGAAGGCCACTGACCTGCACACTGAAGATGTCTACACTTTATTGTATCAAGTTGTATCTCCATAGAAAGATAATAGATAAGATACTTCTTTATTTAAAAAAAAAAAGTATGTGAGAGAATTAGCGAGATTGGAATGGTGGGGTAGGGTGAGTGGGGAAGGTAGGAGAGTCTATCAGGGGAGGAGGGAAGAGCACGTGTACAGGAGACCCGGAATAAAACGCAATCGGGCTCCGAGTGTGGAGCACAAGAAAGGAGGTGGGGAGGCGGAAGTAGAGGCTGGGGAGGGTAGGCAGAGGCCAGGCTGGGAAGAGGACAGGGTAGGACATTTCTCGCCAGCGTTGGTGCGGTCGCCTGATTGGGCAAAGCCTCCGGAGGCGGCAGTGCAGACGCCGAACTTCCCACCGCGGGAAGGCAGGCAGGCTTGCCTGCTGTCTGCAAAACCCTTCAGGCGGAGAAGGCAATTTACAGTACCGGGCGTGAGAGATCTTACTGGGTGATGAACTTACTGGGTGATGAACATGTTCTAAAACAGATTTGCAGTGATGGGTGCACATCCGTAAATGTACTTGAACAAGTCATTGAATCGTGCTCTTGAAATGAGTGCATTATACGGTATGTAAACCATAACCCAATAAAGTTATTTTTAAAAATTGGAGGCGGATCCTTCCCTCCTGATTGCGCCCGCCCCAGAGGGGTCCGTGGGGTCTTTCCCGCCCTCTCCCTCCACCCAGTCTTGTGCCGGAGGCCCTTGGTCGCTCCGCTGCCTGCGTTTAAGCTCACGCGCACACCCACATCCAGCCCCTGAAGACCCCGACAGCCCTGGGGCTGATGAGGCGCCCCCAGGCCCTGGGCGGGGACGGGAGGGCTAATACACCGCTCGGGAGCCTGCGCCCGGCCACGACACGTCACCGGAGGAGGGGTGCACATTCCCAGTTCTCAGACCAGAAGACGGAAGGCCTAGGAAAGGGAGGGCTGCAGGTTTCACCGTAGGGGCAGATCCCGTGCGGCCTCTGACCTGCTGGGACAAGAGGCACTGGGAAGGGGCGTCTGCAAGTGAGGGCCAGGCTGGACAGCCGACGGAGGGGCCGGTGGCGGGAGCGGGGGTGGCGCGGCGGCTCTCACTCACCACTTCCTGCCGCCGATGTCATGCTGCTGCACCGTGTAGCCAAAGAAGGCGGCCCTGGATCCAGGGATGACGCGGGGCTTCCTGGTGTCCATGTTGAAGGTGTCCGTGAACCCTGAGGTGGGGAGAAGAGGGAGTCAGGCAGGTGGAGATCAGGGCCCCGGGGGCGTGATGCGCGCCGCCATCAGGTCACCTACCTGGGAGGGTCTTGACTGTGGGGCGTCAGGGAACTGGCTTCTCACCGCCACCCCCACGCCCGGGGCCCTAGCGGCCATGGCTCCAGCTACTGGCGAACAAATCGCAAAGCTCTGCCGGCTTCAGCTCGGCCCCTGCCTAGCGGGGCCGCTGAGCTGACGCAGAACGAAAGTCCTGCCGTAACTTTCAGCCTGGCCCCCGAGGTCTTCCCCATCGGGGTCGGTCACTGTCTATGACTGGGCTCCACCTGGTGAGGAGCCTCGGTGCTGAGCCGAACGCACTCCTTTGTCATTCTTGTGCCAAATCATAAGAAATAAGAACTGACATTTGCATGGCGGCTGATCTTTCTGGGCCTGCGCACATCTGGCATCACTGACCCTCACGGGATCTCGGGAGCATCAACACGCATCTACATCTACATTTGGCAGAGGGGGTTTCGGCCCAGAGAGGCCAAGAGCCTTGTCTAGCGGTACACAGCGGGTCCGTGGCTGCACTAGGACCCAGATGCTTGCTCTGTGACTCCTTCCCTCTGTGCAGCATTTTTAGGGTGTATCTGGCCTCACTGCATGTCACGACTAGTAGGGCCACCAAACTTGGGACCCATGGGATTTAAGTGGTAGGATCCTACCAGGAGCCAAAACTTTCAGATAAGTGAACACTGTATCTGCAGCACAGAATAGAGCAGATGTAATTTTGTCACCCTTTCATGTGTGGGCACTTTATCCATTTCAAAGAACATTCCCTTAGCATTCACTCTCCACGACAACCCTGTGAGGTGGATAGCAAATGGAAAGCCAAGGGTCAGAGAGGTGACCTCTGGGGTTCCAGAGCCTGCTGGGGAGGGACTCAGAAGCTGGAGCTTGTAACCTGAGCATCCCACTGCCCTTCCCCTGGGCACTGACCCTCGGGCCTGAGCATTCACGGGTTATGCCCTGGGGCACAGACTTGAATAAGGCACCTTGTCCAGGAACAATTGGTTTCTTACAAACTTTTTTTGCTCGGCAAATAGATATAGTGGCCAAAAGTTCCATCATTCAAGTCATAGTATTAGAGTGCTCAGAGGTAAAACTGGAACACCTTAGAGCAGGGATGTTAGATAGGTGTTTCCTCACTTATCCATGTCAGCTGTGTTAGCGCTGCCTGGAGCACTGAGGTAAGAAAGATTCTGAGGTCAAGTCTGGGTCCAGTGGGAAGACCACTGCGATCAATGAGCACTACCTGCCGTGGATGCAGGAGAGGAACTGAGCTGCAGGTGGCTCTGTAGCTGCCAACCCGGTCTTCATGGATCCTAATCAGCCACATGAATTTAGTGTCTGGTTCAGAGAAGGGTGGGGAAGAGGCATACTTAGCTCATTAGTGCCTTATTACAAGGCCCAGACCATGAATGGACTTATCAGCCTGGTTATCAGCAGGCAGCTTTGGGTAAGAGGACCCTGCTTGGGTGATACAGAGGGATCAAGGAGCATTGGTCCTTGGCCAGTGAGGGCATGTCATGGAGGAGAGAGATGCCAGTGTCACCTGTGCAGAGCTGGTAGGTGAACAGAGAGGAGGCAAAGAAGTGGAGTTGTGGATGAGGAACTCACTCTCCAAATCTGTCCCAGTAATGAACATACATACTCACACAGGTGTGCACACAGGCACATGCATGCATATACACGTGTACATCCAGGCACTCACACACATAGATGTGCATGCACACACACACGTGTGCATACACATTTACCCACACATGAACAAACAGGCACAAGCCATGCACATTCCCTGAGGGTGGAGCAACATTTTATCTGGATCCCTGGCACCCCTTGGAGATGCCCCTGATGGTCCCTGTCCTCCCCCTTCTGTATGTGACCCCAGGAGGATGTGGCCCTGAACAAGAGGAAGGCATATTCTGGTTGCCAGAACCCACCCCCCATTTCCAGGTCTGTAAGAGGGTGAGGGTCAGTGAAGACACAGCCATAAATTGTGTCTTTGGAGCCTTCCCACCATCAGCGTTTCTTGTGCAAACACAGGCAGAGGGATCCTTCCAAACTTCTTACTGGAGGCTGTGTTGGAGCTCCATACTGTCCATCAGTTTCCCACTCCACTCACTGTCAAAAGGCAAACTCCTTACTTGCAAGGCCCTGCAAGATCCACCCTGTTCTCTCATCCCCCTCATTTCCTGTCCTCCCCCTCCATCCTTCTGCTCCAGCCACACGGGCCCCCTTGCGGTTCCCAGACAGTGTCAGGCCCATTCCCTGCTGGGCATCTTTGCCCTGGCTGTCACCTCTGCCTGGAACACTCCTTTCCCAGTTATCTGCATGGCTCATCACCTTAAGTCATTAGGGTCTCTGTTTCAGTGCCACTTATCCATCACCAAGCCACCCTGTCACCCTCTATCCCCTTCTTCATAGCACTCATCACAAACATAGTATATACTCGTCTGTGTATTGTCACGTGGCCGATACTCTGTAACATTCTTGTGCTAAGTGCCATGAGACACTGCTACATCCTCACTGTGGGATCTTTAGTGCCCCAATAGTGACCTAGCTCTTGGTGAGTGGCCACAGATATTGGTTGACTGAATGGTTAGAGACCAAGATCTACATTTGGCTGGGAATTTCTCTTCCCTCATTGAGGAAAAGGAGGAGGAAAGAGGACTTAGTGAGCACTGATATATTCCACGCACTATTCTGGGTATCTAACTTAATTTTATATGAATCAGTTACGTCTCACACCAGCCCTGTGGGATGGATATTATCATAGCTCTGGGAGGCTAAATAATTTGCCCCCAATCTCTCAGCTGGGAGGAGATTAGGGCAAGTCCATGATCAAGTAGCTCAGAGCGCTAGGGTGATATGTTACTGCTGGGAGAGCAGCTTAGAAGAAGGACCCACTAGGAGGAGGAATATTCTTTTCAGAGACGGAGGCCTACCCTCCAGGGCAGAAGACAAAAGCCTTCAGGCTGGAGCATTCAGTTGCAAAGTGCTGGTTTCTTCCCCAGAATCACATTTGCTTCTGACCAAACGGAACCACTGGAAAATGGATTTCTTTAAACTGATGTCAAGTCTGACGCTTTTGACTTCGGCTCCTGATATGATCTCTGGCCTGCTCCTCAGATGGCGGATGGCTGTTGTGCTTGGGGAAGGCACTCTTCTCAGAGATTTATGAACCCCAAATACCAACAAAACAAAATAAAGTTGTTTTTGATGTGAATCATCAGGACAATTGCAGAGACAACGGGAGCTTGGTTGGGCATCTTGCCACTTCTTTACCCTTGATATTGGTGACAGAGGGGGAAACCCCACAGTTTGGGCTGCTTTCCTGTGGACTGTGCCAAAGTTAAAACAGCTGCTGCTCCCTGTCTCAGAATCTTATGTCTTTTTAAAAAACACCAGTCAGTTCCAAGAAGGCACTGAAACCACAGTAGGAGCTTGAGCATCACTTGGGGCTCACAGTTCTCAAACCCCATCACTCCAGGCTATGGTGAAGGCCACCGTCTGATCACCAGGCGGGGCAGGCACAGTCCCAAATGCTGAGGCACGATGGCCAATGCATGTCTAGAGCTACCATCAACTCAACAGCTCCACGGGGAGGGCACAGCCCAGCTTAAGGAATGTCTGCTAAATGTCCACACTCTGTTGGTCCATTTCACTGCTTCCCCCCAACCCCAGCCCTGTCCAAAAATCCTCCACACAGCCCTAAGGCCCTCTGCACCTCCCCAGCCTTGTCCCTGAATTTTCCTGTGGCTCCCTGGGGTCCAGCCACCAGTCTCTGCTTTCTGCTTCCCAGATGCACCTTGCTTCCTCCCACCTTGGGTCCTTTGCACATGCTGTTTTCTCTGTCAGAGCCTCTCTGTTGGACTTCTCATCACCTTAAAATCTCAGACAAATGTCACATCCTTTACCTCCTCCTAGGAAGCCTTCCTGGCCCCTGGTCACACCAGGTCTTGCCTAACATCTCAGCTTTCATTTGTCCATAACAGGTGACCGCTGACTCAACCTTGCCTTGTCACAGTCAGCACTCACAGCCATGGGTGTGCTTGTTTGATCACTCCTGTCTTCCTGTCAGGACAGCAGCTCCCCGAGGGCAAGATGGGGCCTGCTTAATCACTGCTGGATCCAGCACTGAGTTCAGGGGTGGGCCCTGAACACTGAAAGGAGAGAGTAGGGACCCTACCAGCTTGGGAGACTGTCCATGGAAACAGCATGGAGAGTCAGTGCAATCCTGTAACCAGGGAGCCATGGCTGCTAGAGAACGCAGGACTGCTTGGGGTGGGGCGGTCAAGAAGCTTCTGGAGGTGTGGCCTCAGCTTTGAAGGGGGATGCACAGGAATCCATGAGGGCATCCAAAGGTGGCAGGCATGAATTCCAGGGAATGTGGGACCAGGGGAGGAGAGGAGGGCAGCCTGACTTGGCAGAGGTACCTGGAATTGCATGGTTCCTCCTGCCCTCCTGCCCTCCTGCAGAAGGCTCCTTGAGGGTGAGGCTGTGCATGGAGGAAACATAGCCTTTGAGTTCAGGGAGAGCTTGTTAGAGGCCTGGTTCCAGCATTCATTCACTAATGGGTGGGCCTGGGTCAGTTACTTCTTCCTGGTTCTCAGTTTGCGCATCTATAAAATGGGAATAATAACATCTACCTCGAAGGTTGGGTGACAAGACTGAATGCGGTCACTAACCCGTGGCAGTCCCTGGTACAGGGAAGTGCTCCATAGATCTCGGTAGAATTCAACTGAATCAAGATTCCCCATTCCCCGAGTGCCTCAGTGCCTCTGCTCATCTGTTCACTCTTGCTGGAGGCCTTTCTTTCCCTTCTCCAGTGTCAAGGCCCAGCCCTGATGACACCTTTGCTATCCCAGGGTCCTCCCTCTGGGTTGCTCGTAGCTTCCGTCCTCTCCCCTTGGATTACACCAGTTTCCGCGTCTGCCTTGTTTTCTGATCCAGC